TTTTTTTGTCCCTTGTAACTAAAAATTTTTTTTTTTTTTTTTTTTTTTGGTGGCTGGCTGTATGGGGATCTGAACCCTTGATTTGGGTGTTGTAACATCACACTCTAACTAACTGAGCTAACTGGCCAGCCCTAAAAATCTTGAGTGACTCATCATAGGTATGAAGTTTCTCTGCTCCTCATGGTCATTAGTTCCTTCCAACCTGGGTCCTATTAGAATTTATGGTTCTGTTTAGATTCCAGCTGACACGTGTGTGTTCACTTATGGGTTTTGCCCTTGGTCTGGGTGCTCATGGCCAGTCTGGGTTGGCCCTGGTCTCCCAATGCCCCCTGTCATGTGGTGTCAGCCCACCTTGGACCAGGAGTTCTCCTTGCTGAGCAGGTCAGCGTAGAAGTAGGCCATCTTCCACTGGCCCTTGTAGGTGAAGCACCACATCAGCTCCCAGTAGCACATGTGGTGGAACTGCTTCCAGTGCTGCTGCGCCTCACAGCACTCCTCGAACCTCCGGATGGCCTGTGGGCACCTGCTGGTCAGCTGTTGGATGCCCACCTGGTCTCACACACACCACCCTCTGTGCCCTCCCAACTCCCACGGCAGACCTAGCCTCCTCCAGGGTACAGAAGTCCAGCCCTGTGCCAGGCTTAGGTGCAGGCCCAGGAGCCAGGAGGTCTGGCCTTCAGTCCTGGTTCTACCCGCTAAGTCTTATATGACCTTGGACCCAGTTACTGCCCTTCTCTGGGACTCTGGTTTTTAGGTCACAAAATGAAAGGGTGAGACAGAGCTATAACGGAGAGGATAACAGCCAGTGGAAAGTTAATATTATAGTGACATAATGTCTGTGCCTCATAGCAAACTCCAAAGGTTCCAGTAGCTTCTGTGAGGTTATGTGGGCCTGGGGCATTTGTCCTGCTGCCTGGGGAATCACAGTTAGGGCCAGCCAGAGACCCTGGAACTCCACATCGTAGAGTCTGTCCTGGGCCTTGGCTTAGCACTGGGGTCCCTGCCAGGACCGGGACCCTCCCCATCTCTAACTTGAGCTCCCTCACTCCCAGCACCTCCACTCCACGTACCAGGTTCCAGGCTAATCACCAAGCACTAAGCAAACGTCTTTCCCACCTCTCCACCTCCCTCCAGCCCCTCCCTCTCCAGGAATGCTACAGTCCTGCATCTCCCTGTCAAAATCCCACTCACCACAGATGTCACCTCTTCCCTCCTCTTCCCAGACTGCCTTGGTGAGAGGTGCCTCTCCTGTCCCTGCTCTCTCATTGGTTCTCTCTTGGGGCCCCCCACCCCATCTGCCCTGTCCCTGACTATGTCTGTGTGTGCCTGATTTCCTGCTGGCCTGGGAGACCCCAGGTGATCCCTAGCACTGGCCCAGACCCCATCACTCACTGCGTCAATGTTGCCTTTAATGGCTTCAATCCGCCCTGCAAAGAACAGGAAGATGGCACCCTGCAATGACATGCACATGGGTCCCTGAGGGTCCATGGGGCACTCATGGGCTGGGGGTGCCTGGCAGAGGGTGAGGCTTACCTTGGGGTAGCGATTCAGGTAGGGCTTCAAGAGTTTCTCTGCCTCCTCGATGTCGACATTCCCAGTACCTGGAGGAGGTGGGGGGGACATAACACAGGTCACCTCCACCGGCTCTTGTGACCCTCCCAGCAACCTACCAGGGGCTTCTGGGACTGCTGTCTCCTCCTCTGTGCTTCTCTGCCTCCTCGATGTCAACATTCCCAGTACCTGGAGGAGGTGGGGGGGACATAACACAGGTCACCTCCACCAGCTCTTGTGACCCTCCCAGCAACCTACCAGGGGCTTCTGGGACTGCTGTCTCCTCCTCTGTGAAGGGGATAATAATTCTTCCCACCTCCAGGGGAAGAATTGGCAGATATAGCCCCTGCACCTCACGGGGCTCAATAACCAGGAGCCTGTGCCCACCGAGGCTGTGCCCAGAACCACAAGGGGCTGCCCACGGCATCTCACACCCTCAACAAGGTGGGTACGACCATCCCCATTCCACAGATGAGAAAACTGAGGCTGGAACCCAGTCACATGGAGGAAAACAAGTGGTTCGCAGGCCAGGCCCCAGGGCGGCTGATGGGGTTCTGTTATTCCTGGTTCCAGTGCCCCACCCACCTCCAGTCCCAGGGCCCAGCACCCGCCCCAGGGGGCCCCTACCGAGCACGAAGGTGAGGAAGGTGTGGTAGCACAGCAGAAGCATGACGCAGAGCACGGCACGGAAGCTGTGCCCCGATGCGCCTTCCTCCAGCTGCAGCAGCCCGTAGTCCTGGGGACCAGGGGACAGACTGTGGTCACTGAACAGTTGTGAGGGCAACGCTGCTGGGGCAGGGTCTGGAGGGCACTGCAGTTGGAGTCTAGAACTCTGCAGGTCAGGTCAGCTACTCACAGGCTGTGTGACCGTGGGCAAAGGGCTGCCCCTCTCAGTGCCCCAGCTGCCTTCCCGGGGGGGGGAAGGGGACACTGGTGCAGAGGCCAGGACAAAGGCCTGGCCGGGTCTCGGGGTCCCCTCCTCCTCAGCAGCCCTTCCTCCATTCCTCCCTGTATTCACTGTGGTGGGTGCTGAGGGCCCAAGTAGTCCAGGTCTGTTGGGAGGGGGAATGACAAGGAGATAATCCCATCCACAGGCACAGGTGGGGCCAGGACTGGGGTGGCTTCCCGGAGAAGCCTCCAGAGCCTGGCTGGGGAGGAGCCCGGGGCCAGATCTCACTTGTTTCCATGCCTGTGGTCTCTGCCCCTCTGTCTGTCCTCCAGAACATTCTTATTCTTTCTAAAACGCAAATCTGACCTGCCTCACCCCTGCCTCAAACCCTCCATGGCTCCCCTGCCTTCAGGACAAAGACGAAGCCCGAGCTGGTGCCCTGGGTCCCTCCCGCCCAGGGCCTCGCCACCCCTCATCCTGGCCAGACAGGCCATGCCAGCCCACCTCCGAGCCCTTCTCATGCTCCGCCCTGCCATCATCATCCTGAAATCCTACTCAGGACTCAAGGGTCTTCTTAAGAAAAGAAAACTGAAAGGGACCCTCAGAGCCTCCGGTCTACGTTCCCGAGGCTCAGTCACGGAAGGCATCAGGAGGCATCATAGTGAGGGTTTCCCTTCTCAGCTCTCTTTCCATCCTTCTGATGGTGCCCAGGAGAGAGCCTCAGTCCTGTGCTCAGGTGTATACAAACTCTCTCACCCTAAGCTCCCTTTCTCACAAAGAGAGAGCCCTGGACCACACCTTGACCAAACGCACAATCTAGCTAGGCTTTCGTAAGCTTGCTTGGCCCTCATAGTATTTATTTTTCTGGTTATGTTCTTTTTTTT